GGGTTGGGATTTTTTTGGTGTACGTAGTATGGCTTTTTAAAGGAGGGGTGTTCAGATTTAGCAATAACTTGGTTTTCCCCATTGAATGCTCTGAGCAGAGTTGTCTCTTGGTTACAATTTAAGGAAAAAAAAGGTCCTATTAAAAAAATGCAACTTCAAAGATTGTTATACGATAAAATCTTCAGAGCTTATCTTGTGGTGTTCAGTGTCTGGCTAGCAATGCATGAGAAGGAATAAAATGTTATGTTATAATTGGCTGTCTACTTTCTACGTAGTAATGCATTTGTAAGAATGTACTCTGTGATTGTGGACAGTTTTTCTGAAAGACTGTTTTAAATAACTTTGAAGTATTTTCCTGTATTACTATATCTTTATAATGTACTAAGGAGCAGAAATTTGTCCGGTAAAACCAAACTTTTTCTGGGGTTATTTTATTTATTTTGTCTTAAATTGACCTTTCATTGATCATAATACATAAATTTTAAATGCTTAAATATAACATACTTCACATTATTTGGTCAAGAGGAAGAAAAGGGGAAAAACGAATGCAATACCCATTAAGAAAAAGTATGATCATTCTGGACTATAGTAGAGGATACATTTCTACATAAAATTAATTCATAATAATGCCTGGAAGTTTTTTGATGTTTCTTGTTGATGTTGTAGACTAAACTTTTCTGTTTGTGACCCACTGTATCTGTGGGATGTGACTTGTCTCTAGAAAACCCTTGTTACCGTTTCAGAGTTAATCTTACTTCTTCCTGCGTCTCGCAGTTCTTATCTATCCACAGATAGCAAGAGTAGGTCAGGCTCATTGCTCCGTGTGTTCCCAATCATTAACAGGTTATGCACGAGCAATTCCTTGTTGGCACTGTAATGTGTAGTTCATTAAGTAGGTGTGCAGCACTGAGAAAGTCTTGGGATGTCCCTGGAGGCTCTGGTGTTTCAGACTAGAGGGTACAGACAGCACCACTGCTCACAGGCAGCAGCACCCCAGCAGCACTGGGAACAAGACACTTCGCCTGAACTAGGCTGAATATAGCGTTCTGACCCCAGGACCCACATGTTAAATTTAAAATGAAGGTTTACCAGAGACATAAGGTTGATGTTTGTGTAAGATGCATAGTGATGTTGTTTTCGTATAGGTATTGGTTCCTGTTTCAATGTAAAATTAGAGAGAATGAGCCACACACATTTTTGGAGATATTTTCTCGGCTGCAAGATATATTTGGCACCTAATACTAGTATTAAGGTGAATTACACATTTTTAATTAAAGCATTCCATCGTGACTGAATTGCTGGCAGGAGCAGATGACCGAAGTGCAGCTGACTGTGGAAGACTTGTCAGCTCTCCAAACCATAACATCTGGTTTGGAGTCAAAAAATATTTCTCAGCCAAATAGTAAAACTTTCATCTTTCAGCCACAAACAGTGTTGAGCACTGATTGTTGTTCGTATTACATGTAGTTCAAGACACTGAAGCTCACACAGCAACAGACTTGCTTAACTTACCACATAGAATATAACTAAAAACTCCAATACTCAATTATTGGCATAAAAAAGGTTATAACTGTTATTGTTACTAACTTACTCTGTTGTAGTTCTTCAGACCAAGGCATGTAGTATTTCAGTAGATTCTTAATAATTAATTATGTTACTGTTTTGTGTGAAAAGTATTAAGGCTTCAGCTGGCAATCTCAGTGTTCTTGGAGAGAGTATGGTTGTGTCTGCACCTCTGGAATGATATGGTAACTGAAAATACAGTGAAGCACAATTTAATTTTTTTTTCTGTCACCTGATAGGAACTGCAATGTGTATGATGCATTTAGAGTGGAGCTGGAAAAAATATCAATTACTCAGATGAGTAGTTTATGCTTCTTAGTAATACGCAGTTGTACTGAAAAAGCTACTAGTATTTTTAAAAGCATTTACAAGCATGCTTAGGAAATGGCTCATCCTCCAATTTAAAAATAGAGAGTGCAAAACTCATCTGCCCACCTCCAACTTTTGCAGCCTTAGGGCCTTTCAATTTTCAGAAACTTACTTGAGCAAGAACTAATTATTTTACCTAGAACTTTAAATGTATTAATATGTTCCAATGTATTTCAGTTTCTGCTTTCATTTCCTTGACATGCTGTTAGGTTGCTTTTGCTTCAGTTAGTACAGACTTTTTTTTTCTATATTTCTATGCTAATACAGTGCATCAAATTCGCAAAGATAAAATCTGATATAGCTATTCCATTACTTTTAAAATACTGAGATTTATAATAGAGTAATTTGGTAGAGCTAGAATTCAGGCTGCTGAAGAACATATGTTATGATACAATATTCAGTTGCATGCATTTTATTTTATTTTTATGAATGGTGCTTATTGAATTTGTAGATGTTCAGTGCTTTTTGTATGGAGTAAGTGGATGATGAGAATTTAAAGATACCTTCAAAATCGGGCATTGCATATAGGCTTATTTTTCACTTGGAATTTTCAGTGAGGGTCCTGTTGCCAAATCATAATACCCTTGAAAAAACTGTATGATTTATACTTTCTGCAGATTATAGTGCTGCATAACCTGAGACTGGAACACTGCCTGAAGTGGAGAACATCATTATGGCACTTCTATGCACAAAGACAGGAGTCAAGGGCTGTTTTGAGGATGGGATTTAACCTAGTGTTCTGCAAATACTTATTATAATAACGTGATCATAAGTGTGATTTTTTTTTTTGTAATACCTTTTTAACTACATTGTCTAGCTTCTCTAACCAAAACTAAGGCCTCTTCATGCAAAATACTGCATGTACGTTTTAAAAAAACAAAACAAAACCCAGTTTTCAAAGTATTTCTGATGTGAAGAAAGGAGTTGAGCACTGGACACCATTTAAATGACAGGGAAACTAACCTTTGGAATCCAGTAGCTGAGAGTGTATGTTGGTGACAGGAGGGAGGTGGTCAGAAGTTACTGTTGGCATCACCAAAGACAATGAGAATATAAAAGGTTGAAATCTTGGGTGAAAGGCATTGCAGTGATAGTTGTGATTCTGCTAATGGAATTGCATGTGGTTTTGTTGTCATTTTTTTGCAATGTATTGGAGGAGTTTTTAGAGCCTCTGAACCATGAAGCTCTTTCACAGTAAGAAAACCTATTTTTTTTCTAGGGAGGAAGAAAGCCAGAAGTCTTCCTGTTGCCTGCAGAGATATTGGCAGCATTAAGAACAGTTTCCAAAACCATGGAAGAGCTATTTTTTTCCTTTCATTAAATAATGTGTACATATGTTAGAAAAATTGAATTAGAATGATGTAAGTTAAACTTTTTTTAAAGTTATTTCCTTGCTATATAAAGATGAGTGAGGCAGTTTAGTTTTTTCTTTCCATCTGATACTGTTTCGGAACTTTGTTTTTTAAATATAAAGCCTGCCCTTCTAGTTTTTTTGGCACAGGTAACAGAATGGTATGTGTTTTGTTATTTCAGACAATAAAATTTAGAATACAATGTCTGGACTCCTGTTTAAAAAACCAAACAAACAACACGCTTCCCCCTCTGCCCCAACCCCCAAAAAAAAAAACAGCTAAAAAAAAAAAACAGAAAGCAGAGCTTGTTATATTACATGGCCAAAATCTTGAATCTGCTTTTTCACTTATGAGAACTCTTTTGAGCTTTAACTTGTCTGAACACTTGACTATAGACACTTTTTCCAGTCCACAACACGGAGGCTGTGCTTGGTGCCAGGAGAGTGATTCTGGGCCTTCTTCATATTTCCTGGCCCTGAGGGCAAGTCAGCTCAGTCTTCCTGTGTTGCCTGGTTGAATGCTAACAGAGGACTGGTCCAGGTTCTGCCCCACCACAAAAAAACCAAAAAAAAAAAAAAAAAAAAATCCCCAAAGGGGAGCTTTTTTCTAAATTCTCTGTTGCTTCTTCTTCATTTTTAAGATATACAAAATATACTAATCAGAAGACTTTTTTTCTGTTCACATATGTTAACAGGCAGCAGATCTATAAAACACATCTGGGAAGTGTGGGGATTTGCTGGCGTTCTTGGAGCACAAAATATTGTATTAAAACCACTTACTGTATGAGTACTTTTTTCACTGATATATACATATACACATGCATACACACATACTTATCCATATGTCTATGTTGGTGAGAGTACTTCCTAGTTAAAAATCAAAAAGACAACCTACCATGTTGTGGTGCAATTGAAACATCCCATAGGATATATCTAGTTACTTTAAACTTTCACTGAAAGTTAGGCAGCTTTGCTGGTTTCACAGCTGCCTTGAGCTGCTTAGCTCCCTGGGCTCCCCAAACTGTTGGCTGCCCTGCCAGCTACTTTTCTGACTGATTAGCTGGAAAGTTGGCGAGCTTATGTAGTGAGGGACCTCAGACCTTAGGAGATCCACATACATAGGATGCCTACTAGATAAGTTGTCAAAAATGAAATTGTTTCTGGGCAACCATCAGGCCTACAAACCAGAACAACCAATGTTGGCATTTTAGATGTTTCTAAAATGAAATGTTTAAGAATAGTTAGCATTTGGAAAGGAGGAATTTGAGATTTGGATTTTGTTCCAATTTAATTTCATGTTGTAATGTGTACTCTGTGTGTGTTATTCTCAGACAGAAAACCTCTGTTCAAATTTGTTTTCAGGCTATGCTTTTAATTCTTTGAAAAACAAAACATTTATTTAAACATGTTGAATGTGCTTTTTTCCCAGTGGTATTTACAGCAATGACATGCATATAAAGGCAAAACTTTCATCAGGAAAATTATAGGTTAAAAAGTGTAGAAAAACCATTCTACAAGATGTATAAGATTGTCATGATTAATACAGCATTTATGCAGTCACATTCATAATAATAATTGGTGTCTTATTTGTATCATGAAAACATGCCAGATTGTCAAAGTAACTTTCAGAGTGCCTAGGTGTTTTTTTCTTATGATTTAACAGATAACCAGAATACCTTTTCTCTAATATAATATTATTTCATGTTTGTAGGTAATATATGCTTTGAACACTAAAAACGATGAACATGAAGCTGCTATCCAAGCCCTTAAGGATGCTCATGAAGAAGAAATTCAACAAATTCTTGCAGAGACCAGAGAGAAGATCTTGCAGTATAAAAGTAAAGTTGCAGAAGAAATGGATCTCAAGAGAAAGATCCAGGTTTTAGAAGAGTCACTGGAAGATCATAAAAAGATGAAACATCAGGCCTTGACAGAATTTGAAGCCTATAAGGATAGAGTTGAAGATATGCAGCTTTGTGCAGAAGCTCAGCATGTCCAACGTGTAGTGACCATGTCAAGAGAAGTAGAAGAGATCAGAAAGAAATTTGAGGAAAGGCTACGAAGTTTCATACAGTTGCAAGTGCAGTATGAGAAGGACAAGCGTACAGCTCTGGAAGACTTGAGAGCTGCCCACAAGCTTGAGATTCAAGAACTTCTGAAGACTCAACAGAGTCAGAATGCTACTTTAAGTAAGGGGCAAGAAAAGCTAGAGGAGTTGCATAGACTGGAGCTGGAAGACTTGAACAGTAAAGTTGAAGAGTTAAGGCTGGAAAGAAAAAAACTCATTGAGGACTATGAAGGCAAACTCAGCAAAGCGCAGTCCTTCTATGAACATGAACTTGACTCTTTGAAAAGGTCTCAGCTTTTTACAGCAGAAAGTCTACATGCTTGCAAAGAAAAAGAAGTGGAGCTAAGAAAAGAATTTCAAAACCAGGAAAGTATGTTACGGAAGAACCTGGGAAAGCTTAAAACTGAATTGCAAATGGTCCAGGATGAAGCTGCCAGTCTACGGGAAAAATGCCAAAAACTTCAGGTGGCTCTTGGTACAGCAGAAAACAATGTTCAGGTGAGACTGATGATACGTTGTTCCCAAGAATGTGAATTTTCTTTTCCTATTTATGCTGTCTTTCCATGAGGCTGGTAGGTTGAGGTGATTGGAAAACGTAAACTTAATTTTCTGTCACTCCTACTTGATTATCATCTACTTCTAATTTCTTTTATTTATTTATATCTTAAAATCGATTTTATGTGTTTAATTGTCCCAGACTGAATTAATACTACTTTATATTCCAGTAAAATCTAGAAGCCCCTACCCAGGGGAAAGTTTTGGTCTCCTTCCTTTCAGCTGTTCATGAAAAGAACTTGATTGTTCTAGTCATACTGCCCAAAGTGTAGTATGCTCAATAGAATACTCAAAACTGTTACCCCTTAAAGAATAGACAAAAAAACCCAAAACCAAACTCTGTTGTCCTCCCCTCAAAGAAAGAAAGGAGAAGAAAAAAAAGGCAGAAAGCTAAGCAATGTCTTTGTATCAGGTCTTTGCATAAATTGATCCCTCTCTGCCCCCCAAAAAAAAGGATTCAGAGAGGGAAGGAGGATGTTGGTGACTAGTTCCATTTGAGATGTTATGCTGACAAACTGAAATGCTTGCTAGAAAAGTTGAGAAATCACTTGTCTAGACTGTAGACTTTCTTGCAGAAATGTATTTGACAGAAATGTCATACAACTGACACTATAAATACAATAAATATTCTGTATTCGGTGCAGTCTTGCTTGTAGAGATCATTAGTGACTACCTTGCCTAAACATGTTGGGTGTTAAGAAAAGTAGGTTTTGGGGGAGGTAAGGAAAAAAGATGACTTTCTGAATTGTTTTTAACTTTTTTATTATAACATCTTCAATGACGTTTTCACAAGCAGTTACTGAAATACTGCACATGTTTTCAGTATGTACTGGTTTTGGCTGGGATAGAGTTAATTTTCTTCATAGTAGCTAGTATGGGGCTATGTTTTGGATTTGTGCTGAAACCAGCGGTGCTAATGCAGGGATGTTTTAGCTGTTGCTGAGCAGTGCTTACACAGAGTCAAGGCCTTTTCTGCTTCTCACACCACTCCACCAGTGAGTAGGCTGGGGGTGCACAAGAAGTTGGGAGGGGACACAACTGGGACAGCTGATCCCAACTGACCAAAGGGATATTCCATACCATATGATGTCACGCTTAGCAATAAACGCTGGGGGAAGGAGGAGGAAGGGAGGATATTTGGAGTGATGCTGTTTGTCTTCCCAAGTAACTGTTACGCATGATGGAGCCCTGCTTTCCTGGAGATGGCTGAACACCTGCCTGCCAATGATTCTCTCCCCCATCCTTCTGGGGGTAGTGAGCGAGCGGCTTGTGGTACTTAGCTGCTTACCAGGTTAAACCACAACAGTGTTATTTAAATACTAAAGTTTCTTGTCCTTAAAGAAGGACAAGACATCCCAGAAATACAAAGTCTGAATTTTTTTGGTCAGCAAAAAATGGGACTGGGTATGCTGGACTTGAAGGAAAAGATTCTGTGAAATTCTGCTTGATTTTTGGTAGCTGTGCTGAGGTCTGGAAACAGTAATCTCTGTGGGTAAGCTTAAGTATCTTGTCTTTTGCATTTGTAGTTACTCTCAAGTTTCAAAGCCAGAAGTACCTTAAATGTGATGGTCGTAGTAATTTTGGAAGCATCATTGAGTAGAGCCGAGATGGGCCATAAGCTTTTCCCATTTACAATCTAATTCCAGCCCATCTTTTGGACTATCCTTCCTTCTTGTGTAAAGGCTACAGGGTGTAGTGAAAGAAGACTGCCACCTTTATCAGATGTTAAATTCAGAATATCTTTTTCCAGCTTCCCAAGGGGCCTTCCAAAAGTTCATTTCCAACTCTGTTCAGTTAACAAAGCAGAACTCTTGCCTTTCAAGTGACTACACCAAGGAGATGGGTTTCTGGCAGGTTGCAGCGAAGAGGAAACCCACTGTATGTTGATCATTCCTGCAATAAAGGAGTTTGTCTTGGTTCCAAACAAGAGGAAGAGTCTACTACAGTATTCACAGCAGATTTTTATGTCAGGTCCTGCTCTGATCATCATGGATGAGCTGATCAAATGCATCTGGTGTCCGTGTTTTGTTACGTGTCCTGTCCAGTGTTTTCCCCAATTCTATTTCCTGCTTTAGTTTCTGAAATGACCCTCTGCTATTCCAGTGACTTGAATAATGAGAAATCTAGCTTGCCTTTTAACACAGAACAAGATTTCCTTTTTCTTCCTGCATGGCTGAGAACACATCATCATCACACTACCTAAGATATGCTATTGTGAATCAGTACATCAGACTTAAAACATACTAACAGTTTGATTTAACTAATTGCCTAGCTCTCATTTTATGAATATCCATGTGCAGCTTAATTTGTGTCAGTACTAAACACTCATCGTTGCAATGAAGGACACTATAAACTGCTGTGAACATATAATGTATTCTTCAATGTGAAGAACTCTCAGATACCAGAAATCAGGTTTCTCAAATTGGCCCCCAAACTCTGTGGACTATTTTAATGTTTTTATTTTTCATACACCTTTTTGAATATTGTCACATTTCTCTTATGCATTCTTGTCGTGCCATATATCCAGTATCTTGTAGTGCTTCAGCAATATATTTGGAAAAACACATAATGCAGAATGAACATAATGGTGATATTACAAGATTTCAGCTTTTGTATGAATAAAACTTGTTTGCTGAAGGGTCTTTTCTGTACATTTTAACCTAATGCTCATTTAAATTTAAACATGATTGCATATAATGGTAACAGGCGTTATACTGTTCTTCCTCTAGGTTCTTCAAAAACAGCTAGATGATGTGAAGGAGGAGGAGATGTCATTGTTAAGCAAACACAAAGAAGTGGAAAGTGAGCTAGCAGCTGCTAGAGAGCGCTTACAGCAGCAGGCCACTGATCTTGTTCTCAAAGCCAGTATGTATGTCAGTAACTTAATCTGGAAATGAACTTCATCTATTTATTCTAGCCTTTCCTTTTTCTGTTAACCTTGTGCAGGTTTAGAGTACCTAAAGACTGTTCAGTGCTGTCCATAGATGTTTCTGACAAGTTTTGGGTTTTTTTAACTGTTTTGATATCACATGCATTGTACTTACGATTCTTTTTCTGTGTACTTATTTGTCCAAATCTTCTACTTTGTATGGCATGTGTGCATCTTCCAGGCCTTGGAACGTCTTGCCTTAACTGCACTTGTACAGAATGCTTCTGCTGTGTATCTATTCTCCACATAATCACTGAGACATGCTTCCCGTTTCTCCATCCTTTTTCAGTTCCTTGTCCTTTTGCTGAGACTGCAGTACTTTGCTTTACACCTACTGTCAGAAGACTTGCAGCTTATCAGTTAATAAATGTGTTAGGGTTTTCTTTATAGCTGTTTTCTTGACTTCTTTGTGCTCGTTGGCATATGGAAAGGCATAGAAAATGGTTTGAGATTTGCCTATACACATGTGGGTTTTAACTTACTGGCATTGTCTCTCTAGTAAACTGCTTAGTGGTAGGGCATGGGCATGGGCCCAAGTACTTGAACTTGGTTAACTATACTATAGGTAGGATTGTAGGCTAAAAATAAGCCCCTGGCTTATCTTTGGCCTTGTTCAACTAGACCAATTGTAGAAATACCTGATAATTTTCCACACAAGTTAGCACAAGCCCAGGGGCCCTTCCCAAAAGTCGGTTTGGATGAAATCACCTTGTTTTGAAAGCTGGGATGTTGCCAGACTGTGCCAGTCGGCCTTAGGGACAGAAAATTCTTCACAGCGTTAACTTGCTAATATTGTAATAGTTTACTATTTATATTATATACTATATGTAATACTATATTTACTATTACTGTAATAGCTTACTATTAGCTGGCTACATGTGGCCTAGCCCTCAAACTGTGTATGTGACTGTGGCCTGTATCAAGGCTTTATTTCTGTCCTTCAAATAATGAAGCAGTTCCTACAGATGGACTGAGTCTGTCTGCTGCCTAGGAGAGCTTCATGCCTAGGACAAGTGGCATAGATGAGCTAGCTAAGGTAAGGGGTAGGAGTAGTCTGCGCTATATGTTTGGACAATATAGAGGCCAGCTGGGACCCAAGGTTGCAAAGTCCTACTGGATGTAAATAACTCAAAGGAATGGGCTTCCTGCTAAGAGGATCTCAAATACGAATCTGACCCTCCAAAAAGTGATGTGTGAGGCACTCATAGAAAAATTCATGACCTGAGACTGTTGGAGGAAAAAAACCTGTTGTCATACACTCTTTGGCCATTCCTGTTTCTTTCCTCAGGCAGAAGTGTGGGAGAGGTTTGGCAGCCAGCCCCAGAGTTACTGCAAACGAACTTAAATATCCAGGCTATTTTTCCTTATTACTGATGGCAATGAGTCATCTGGGCTGCGAGTCCAGCACTGGGCTCCTCTGGCACCAAGGTTTTTAGCTTTACCAGAAATTGCAGTGTGTTTACGCTGTTCTGAGCTCAGTGGCACTGTCAGTAGTACATCTTTGCTTTACAGGACCTTGCTGTGCAACAAGAACCAGGAGCCCTGTTTACAGTCGTGCCACCAAGCCATTACCATGTGATATAATTCATTACCAGCCTGTTTGGAAATGGTTTCTGACACTGTCCCACTGCCATCTCCTTTGATTTTCAGCTCACACTTGGAAGTCAAAAATCTTGCCCCAAAGAAACTAAATTCTCATGCTTAATTACCATTCACAATATTTACTCATTGTATTGCAATTTGAGAATGCTGTATTAAGTCTATTATGGGAAATTAATATATTCTTCTGCCATTTATCCTGAGATTCTAAACTTGAAAGGAAACTGCTGCGTTTCATACCTTCTGTGTACAGGAATGGGAAACCTCTATTGTGTGTCGGTATTGCTAGGACAAAAGCTCTAGACCAGTGTATGTGTGCATTTACAATAAAATATGCATGTACGTAATACTTCCTGACAAACTTGAAATTCTAGTACGATTATTCTCCTTGTTACATTCTAAAATCTGGGTTTGCAAATACCCAATTTCTTAAATGGCTGAACTTTTGAAACAAGGTAGTTTTTGAAATATTACAGAAGTTAAGCGTACTTGTTATCTTAAGTTTTTTCTCTTCAGTTTTTAGTTTTATCAAACAAAAATGCCAAAATGATTCTTAGAATTCTTCAGGGCTTAGTACAATTAGAGATGTGCATTGTTTATAAAAATACTACTAATTTTGAAGCATTTTTCATGGCCAAATTCCATTATATAGCCCACTGTCCTTCCCTTCACATCAGTGCCCACAGACAACAAAGGCTAAAACAGTTTCCTTTTTGGCACATCTCTTGTTTTAACCGCAGATGGAAATGAATAGGGAGGCTTAGTGGTTTTCTCTTGTGAGCAGCAGTGACACACAGTCTACTTTCTTAGCTATTTCTTAGTAACTTAAATTTAAAAGCAATACCCTGTTATTAAAACTCAACTCATCTGTCATTTTTGAAGGTTATAATAAAATGGGGCGGTGGGGGGAAGTCTCTCCTAGAAGTTGTTACTACAAAAATAATAAAAAGTTTATTCTGAGTAAGTAGTATATTTTCTTATCTAGATGCTTTCTTTATGTGAAACTGTTAAGGATCTCTGTATAATCTTGAAAGTCTGTTTAGTTACCACTTCATTTTATCATATGCTAATTTTAAAAAGACATATTTCAAACATGTCTAGGTCATGTGATTTATGAAAGGGATAATAGGGTGTTTCTATCAAAAGAATCCATTCCAACGTGGAATGTCAGCTTAGGTATGACTTCATGATGCTTCTACAAAGATGTTAAAATAATGGGACAAGATCCCCTCTCTTGTCTTTCAATTGAACAAACTTAGGAGCATCCTCTTTTCCAAAATAGTCTTCTATCCCCTCCTAAGCCTTTCCCAGAATAACAGGAGTTTCATTGCTTTAGTCAGTTACCTAGTAGTAGTATTTTCAAGAATACAGATATAAATTACAAAGAACAAGGACAAAAATTTCTGAAGTCATAAACCTTTTTCCACTGGTGATATGAAGGACAGATGATTATACTGTCTAGCTTTGTAGATTTTCTTTTTTTAATATATATAAAGAAATTAAAAGCAAGCCTCTAACCTGCAAGGATTTAGATCATACTGTACTATGGAGAGAACAAGTTCTGTTACATCTTTTAGTCGTATACCTATAGCAAAATAAAGTGTAATTCCATAAGTTTTACATAGCTTCAGCTGCTATACCTAGCACACTGGTTAAATTATGAGTTTGATAAAACAGTAACATCTTTACCATTAGACTTCGATGTTCTGCTTTCTGTTATGTAGCTTATTGTGGGGTAAAAATGTGTGGTTTTAAGTGGGATGAGTTCTTCAAGATAGACTGTCCATGTTAATATTATTGCCTACCTCTGCTTTCTCTTGGAGTCAATATGCAACTTTGAATCAGGGAAATTGAAACTGAAGGAGCCCTGGCTCCAAGTGCTCTGCTGTTGTTGGACATTTTACAATAAAACTAAAAAAGGGAGAAGTGGAGGGGAAGGTAAGCATTGCAGTGAAGGTAATGGAGATCCATATGAAAGTTTCCACTAGAGTTGTACTTCTAGAAATTACTGAAGTGTGAATGTGTACTTCAATTACGTGAAACTAATGCTGTGAGGTTTTAAAGAGCTGTTTTGGTTTTAGGTCACATTGGAATGCTTCAAGCTACTCAAATGACTCAAGAAGTTACAATCAGAGATTTGGAATCAGAAAAGTCTAGATTAAAAGAAAAACTATCCCAACTGGAAGAGGAAAGAAACTTACTGCAGAGCAAAACACAGAGTCTGGATGAGCGACAAAGGCAGCAAATTCTGGCCTTGGAAAAGGTTAAACAGCTTATTGGCTTTAGCTGAATAAAAACAAAAGACCTAGAATTCTAAGAAAAAATGATTGTTTTAATTTTCTTTTGATATGACTGGACTAGGACCAGTAGTAGTGTGTTCCAAGTGTATCTCATGTAGCAACATAGATTGACTAATGTAGAGTGTAAAGTAAGAGTAGAAGGAAGGCAGATTAGATGTTGTTCTGACTGCTTTGGACATCTTTTAACAATTTCATTTAATTTATGACCTCATGTGTAAATGCCTAGTATCTGAAGTGTCTCAGTAAGGAGAAATGTGAAATGGTTAAAGAACAATTTAAAAAGCCGTTCTCTGAAAATGTGCTGAACATGTTTGAAAATATTGAACTGAAATTTTCTATAAGCTTGATACCTGATTGCTGTTTCCCCAGATTAAATAGAGCAAAAAATAGATTTTAATATAGATATATTGCTTTGCATGGATATATTGAAACTACCTTTTTGGTTATTGAATTATTTAGTCACTACTTAGTGTTTGCTAAATTTGTTTTATATGGAAGTTAATTTCTGTAGATTTATTTAATCGGTAATGTTTTTGTATTTTTTTTCCTCTTAATCTTCAGATTTTTTTTACTGTTTAATAGAAATGATTGTATTTTTCTCTGTCTTTTATAGAAAGTAAATGAAGCAAGGGAGACACAACGTGAATATTATGAGAAGGAGCTGGTAAAATTGCAAGCAAGATTGGAAGGAGAGGCTGCACAGTTAAAGGAGGCTCATTCTAAGACCTTAGAAGAATTGGCATGGAAACACCACACTGCAATTGAGGCTGCACACAGTAATGCTAATAAGGATAAGAAAAAACTGCAGATGGTAGGTTTTTGTTTTCTTAATGATAAAACATACTACAAAAAGCAAATGTTAGAGTTTGAACCTTGTACTGCATGGTTGTGTTGTATGGCAAGTATTATTTGGAGTTACCTGCAGATCTGCTGTGCCTCTCTGAAGAAACTGCTCAGCCTTTATTAAAATAAACATATCTTGCCAAAAAAAAGAGCATTTTACTGTCATTTGTCTGTATACAGAAGAGAAATTCTCAACTCCATACAACATACTCAGAAAGGTTGGTATATCACTCAAGATCAGTTCTTCTGAAGGAGGTGAAAGATTATGTTACTCTAATATTTAGTTAAAATTTTTATAAATAGTCCAGAAGTAAAAAAAGATATTATATTAGTATGTGTACTCAGAAGACGACAACAGCTGTTCCTAACTTATATCATAAAATTATGCTAACTGTATATTGACTAGTCATTTACCTTTGACTGGAATCCCAAAACTGAAAGGCCTTTTTGTTTCACAAAATTGGCGTTTTCTTTGTTGGGATAAATGAGAGGACCAATTTTGAATTATTATTTCCTAATCTGATTGTATGTACATTATACAGAAATTTTGCCTTATACAGTAAATACGGGATAAATATTAATTGTTTAGTTTAAGGCTTTGTTATGGTTCTCTGGTGTGCTCACAGGAAATATACCGAGAAACACAGCTGTAGTTAGTGATGTGCATCTTGGACTGGTTTTGGTTTTTTTTTTTTGTAAATAAAACTAGTGTGTTGCTGCTTAGTTTTATTTTTAATAAATCCCAAAGATTTTTTTCATGTCTCCCAGTAATGGAAGTAGTTCTCCAAGACATACACACATCTGATCTTTCAGGTTTACTTTCTTTGTAACTTTAAACATGCCTGTTATTAATACAATGTCTCTTAACGGTTTCTGGGAATATTTTTTTTTTTTTTTTACTTAAGTAAAAGTATGTCATAAAATGTTTGTTCTTAAATCATTAAATTAGTTAAAATAGGGAACATTTCTATAAATGTGAGAAATGTGAAACTTGATTTTAGCAAGGGAAAATTAACTATGAAAAGATGTCAGGGTCAAGATCTCAGTAAATCTTAATGAGTGTACTATCTCCTTTGTCAAACCTGTCTCACTAAGCACATGTTGTGTTGTTTGAGTATTCAAGGAAGAAACAGTCAGTCTCAAATGTGGAGAAGAGTTGAATTTAGTATAAAGAAGAAGCATGGTACAAGGAGCCTTGGGATAGAGGACATGAGGATTTATTGGGACTGGAAGACTGGGAAAGGCATCTGGAGTTTGGAAATCTTTGGAAAAAATGGAACAGAAGAGAATTCTAAAGAATAAGAATAGGACTCAAGAAATGGCTTAAATATATCTCTTTGCTTCAATTCTTCGATCTATAAAATGAGCTGTAAAAATGGCATCTTTTCATAGGAGGATTATGAAAATAGAGCTGCTAATAATTTTGCAGTACTGCACAGCTGTACTGACAAGTATCATAAAAGCACTAATTACTCAGTTATCAGAATAGGGTCTGAATAGCACTAGTGAAATTTTGCAGACAGCAGATTTCAGAGTGCGAACAAGAAAATTTGAGCAAGTCTCATTTAGCAAGCATCAATTGTCCCATGTGGTGATTGATCTGGGCCCGGTGAAGAAAACATGCACTTCTTGAGTTACATTGTATAGCAATGTATTATTGAAAGTGTAACCCTCTATTTTGTTACTCTGTCCAACTTCTATCATGAACAAAGAGATTCTGCAAGCAGTTTGTACACAAATTATTTATTGCCTATTGCACACCCTAATGAAGTGCTAGAACTAACAAACTACTAAGCTTAATGTGCTTAACATCCCCAGCAAAACACTTGAGGAGTCTCTGGTTTTGGATGAGGAAGAGCTGGCCTCCGTTGCTTCCGGGAATGGGCTGGATGACACTAAGCTGCTGTCTTCCAGCTCCCCAGTTTTCCTTAGAGTTTTATACCTTTTCATGACAGTCTTTTTCCTCCTGAATTCTTGAGCTCTTAACTCTCCCTGTCTGTGCAATCTTACCGATGCCTGCAGTTGTACTTTTTGTCCCGTGCATGGTTCTAGTCTATGTATTTTCTTAGCTGTTTCTGAGATATTACTGATTTCTCAGAAATCTGAGCCCAGGGCTACACAAAGGCACTGAATCGATGCTAAGCCGTGCATTACAGCTGAACCCCTAGGAGGGAATTAATAAAGGAGCTTCTATAGCTGCATAGAAAACCTTGAAGTCTTGTATTACCTGGCTCTGGAGCACCTTACCTGGCAACCTTAATTTTCTTCAAGAAGATTTTGTGATTATAATGAATTACATCGTATATTCCACTGGAATATATAATAAAGCTCTTAATTTTAACATGTTTCATGTTAAGTATTTTGTGACAGAAATTGTTCTTCTGAAAATATATTCTGAATATTAATAAAGCTGAAGCATACATTTATAGTTTTTCTTAAAAAAAGAAAAAAGTTTCTAACAAATATATATGCAACATAGGCTCATGGAAGAGAAACAGAATTCATCCAACAGAGTTGTTTTCAGAATTTGGCTATTACTCCACAGAGATCAAATGAAACAGATATGTTGTTTGATTCTTTCCATATAGTTGAACTTGAAGACTAATTGTTGATTTCTTTTGGTTCGACATAAATTTTACAGATATGGTGTGGGGCTTTTTTTCATTTATTGTAACAGCCTGAAAAACTTCCCAAAGCTCATTCTGGATTTTAAGCTTTACTATTTTCTGTGCGGATTATGTGTAGGAGATAGATGGGTAAAGGCTGAAGGATAAGCATATTATCAGTGTAATTTTATAAAAAGTAAGAACTTTTGCATTCTGTCAACTGAGATTGAAAAACTGTGAAAGTAGATAGTTTTAATGATTTTGATAATTAAGTGCAAAGTGAGACTAGTAATTGAGAAGAAGGTCCTGTTTGTCTTTATTTTGTGATTAATTGAGCATGTTGGATTAGAAAATGAACTGAAAAAATAAGGCATCCGTTGTAAAAGGATATAAATGTTCATGTTTTAACACTTTAAGGAATGGACAATTCTTGGTTGAGATCAGGAATATTTATGCCAGGAGGAATAATTTTCATGTGATGCACCTGTCCTTTTGCAATGACCGTATGGCAAGTATTTAATGTTTCTTCCATCCTTCTTATTTTGAAGGAGTTGGAGCAGCAGTTTGAGAAGGAGAAACTGCATTTGGAGGATGATAAGAATCAGCTCCGACAGCAGCTTGAAAACCTGAAGGAAGAGCTGACAACAAAACTGACTTCTGCCAATCAGGAGGCAAGGTTTAACTTAATTGTTCAGCTAATGGTCCTGTACACTACATCACATTTAATCAATAATGATCTACTGCTTAGAGTCCAGTACAAAGCTAGGACTACTCTGTTCAGTCTGTTTAGTGCCTTATTTCTGTTTAAAGTGGAGTATACTTCAAACATAAGTTACTTGACCGCTTCTGAGCACTGATTTTATTGTCCTTTACAAAATTAACAAAGCAAAAGAGATTGAGGTACAAAACAGTTGACAGTTTCTTGTTTCAACTCTGCTTATTTTCTCATTAGGTACACAGACCTCTACACAAAATACGTCAGGAGACAGAGGGAAAATTAACTGTATTTAAATCCATATTTATTTACAGTTAACATATTGTAAATTCTGGTCAGCTTCCTGACTTGCAGATGATCTTCATATATTTCTATCAAAAGATGACATGAAATACTTATTTATAGTAGAACCCAAATTATTTGCAATGTTTTGATATATGCAATCAACATTAAATGTATCATATCTCAATACAGTTTTAATTTTTTGAGTTTGAAATCGCCACCTTTTCATAATATAATATTTTTGAACTAGAAATATATTCTTACTGATATCAAAAACATCAACCCATTCTTGTCTGAAACTTTTGCCTTGTTTCAAGAAAATAATTCATTGGCTTCATTGTTCAACAGGCCATACATAAGATTTCAGTGGGCGCTTTGAGACAGACTTAAGCATGAATTTAAATATTTTTTTGCAGTGATACTTTTCATTATCGTTTTCTATACCATACAAGTTCTGGAGGTGGCAGGTGTTTGTCTAATTCTGGTGGCTTGCAATTTGCACAATTGTTAAACTTGCTTTAGAACAAAACTGCTTGTTTGTAACAAGCAGATTGCCCTTCTGAAAGTGTATATTAAATAA